TAGGAATGCTTCATCTTCAATTTGAATTTCAAATTGAATGATAGCGCCATTTGAATTTTGAATAATAGCGCTATCTGATTAATCGTATATCTGATTAACCGGATTGATCTTTGGGGTTTCATCCTGTGTAGTGTCCTTGCTGTAGGCTCTACAGGTGTTATCTTTCGTAGGCTCCACGTGTCATTTGAGTATCTTGAATAACGTTGTTGAGATACAACGTTGTTTTATTTATGTACTTCAATGGATCATATTGATTTTTTTTTAGGGAGTGATTACCTACAACCTTCCTATCATAGGCTCTATACATGTCATAAATTTAGTTGAAATTTATGTGCCAACAAATGCCCCTCGTGACTTGCACAAGTGAATTTTCTTAACTGTGCGAGTCACGACAATTTTGGCACTTTTATCTTGATGATCTTTAGGTCTTGGATGGGATTATTTCTTTGCTTTGGTCCCTGGCCTTTTTTCTTTCTTTTTTTTTGTTGGGGTTGATGGCTCTTTTTTCATGGGCCCTTTTACTTTTGTTGCATGGGTTCTTTTTGTGGACTTGATCTTTTTTTTAAAAAAATAAAGGGTTAATAGCCCTTTATAGTCCATGGGCCATTTACTTTTGTTGCATGGGTCCTTTTTATGGACTTGATTTGTTTTTTTTGAAGGGTCATGTGTAAGGTCCAAGATTTAATTGGGCATTTCCTTTTGTGGGCCTCCAACTTGCCACCATTTTTTTTACGGTAGATTTTTTTTCTAGGCCATCATGGATTTTTCTAGACCATCATGGATCTTTCTTTTTCTAGGCCACCATTTTTTTAATTGGGCCTTTTCTTTTGTGGACCTCCAACTTGCCACCATTTTTTTTATAATAGATTTTTTTGTAGGCCATCATGGATTTTTCTAGACCAACATGGACCTTTCCTTTTCTAGGCCACTATTTTTTAATTGGGCCTTTTCTTTTGTGGGCCTCCAACTTTCCACCATTTTTTACAGCAGATTTTTTCTAGGCCATCTTGGACCTTTCCTTTTCTAGGCCACCATTTTTAATTGGGCCTTTTCTTTTGTGGGCCTCCAACTTGCCACCATTTTTTACAGTAGATTTTTTTTCTAGGCCATCATGGATTTTTCTAGGCCATCCTTTTTTAATTGGGCCTTTTCTTTTGTGGGCCTCCAACTTGCCACTTATTATTTTTAGGATTTTTTTACAACATATATATATATATATATATATTTTAGGAGTTTGTCTAAATGGAATAGGATAGATTGGCATTGGTAGGATTTCTAATCCTATACAAACTCTTACTTAGTATTTCAAATCCAACCTAAACTCTTGCTTGTTTTAAGTATTTTAGGAGAACAATACCTCCTTTCTTAAGAAAGAATTTTTGCTTATATGACACGTATCCATGCATACAGCCCACATATTTTCCCTGTAACTTTTTTTTTCCTCCCAGTGGATATTTTTTTCTCTACAGATTTTGTGGTGCATATTAGGTCTTCATTATTTTAGTATCTTTCCAGCAGAAATTGCTCTTTGAGTATACAAAAGATACAGCCCATATATTTTCCCTGTAGCTTTTGTTTTTCTCCCAGCAGCCTCTTTTTTTTTCTCTACATATTAGGTCTTCATTATTTTAGTATCTTTCCAGCAACTTTCCACCAGCAACTTTCCAGACATTATCTTTCTTCTTTTTCCAACAAAAATTGTTCTTCTTATACTTTAAAGAAGACACAAAAGAATCTCTTCAAACTCCTTTAAATTAGGTATGCTTTCTTCTCCATAAAATATTTTCTTTCAGCATGTATATCAACATGTGACAACCCTTCCCAAAAAATTTTACTAGACCCTAAGTCCAAGTAGTCCCAACAAAGACCCTTCTTGAAAGCATGAATAACCTACTGCCTTATTTCATAACAAAAGCTGTAGCTTCTTTTCTTTTTATTATTTTACTATTTTTATTTTTACTTGAACAAAAAAACCTGCTGCCTTTCCAGCAGATTTTTTTTCCTAGCCCAAAGACCTTTTTTTTTTCACAGTTTAATCTGCTCTCTTTTTTTTTTTTACCTTCCAACAGAAATTTTCTTCTCCATGAACCTTTTTTATAACCCATGAAAATTTCCATGAACCTTTTTATAACCCATATGAACCTTGTGTATAACCTGCTGCCATTAGCCAATATGGCCTAGAAATAAAGAGAGCCCATTTTTGCTAGACAACAAACCTAAAACAAAAAACTGCGGCCCCTTTTTTTAGCTGCTGCCCCATTTTTTTCTTGTTGCTTCTAGTCATCAGACCAAACAGACTTTTTTTTTTTATATGATGGCAACAAAGACGGCCCATTTTGCTAGACCCAAATACTCTAACAAACAAAGACCATGTAAAAAAAACGGCAACCCCTTTTAGCTGCTGCCCCTTATATATTTTGCTGTTAGATCATGAACTTAACTAGCCCAAATAAAGTCCTTGCCCTATACAAACAAAAGAGCCCTCTTTTTTTTTATAAGTAGCAAGAATTTTTTCTTTCTTTTTTTATTTTTTAGTTTTTATATTATTTTGATAGAACCAACCAACACAGGTTGTTTTGCCTATCATTTGGGGAACAAACTATCTATTTATTTAGCAAATTTTTGCAAAGACAACCTCTTTTTTTTACAGCAGCAACCTGTTTGTTGCTATGTTGTATAGCAGATTTTTTTTTTTTTTAACAATTTTTTTTTTAAGCTTGCTACCTTTTATTTTATTTTGTATTAGTAGCAGCCCTTTGTACAATTGGCCAAATTTTTTTGTTAAAAGTCGAATCGGCCTTACCCTCTCGTGATTCGTGCAAGTGAATTTTAATTGTACGAACCATGATGACTAATTTCCTTCTTTTTTTGGTTAACGATTATTCCATGTCTTTTTCCCTCTTTTACAGGCAACCCGCAAGGCGTCAGAGTTTGTTTGCAGGTATCATTGCCCCTTTTAGCCTAATGGCAATGAGTGGCTTGAATCCTCGGCAGTGATTGTGTCCTTCACCCCAATGGCTTGAATCCTTGGCAGTGATTTTTTCCTTCACCCCAGTGGCTCGAATCCTTGGCAGTGATTGTGTCCTTCACCCCAAAGGCTTGAATCCTTGGCAATGATTTTGTCTTTCACCCCAATGGCTTGAATCCTTGGCAGTGAATGTGTCCGTCACCCCAACGGCTTGAATCATTGGCAGTGATTGTGTCCTTTCACCCCAACGGCTTGAATCCTTAGTAGTGAATGTGTCCATCACCCCAACGGCTTGAATCCTTGGCAGTGATTGTGTCCTTTCACCCCAACGGCTTGAATCCTTAGTAGTGAATGTGTCCTTCACCCCAACGGCTTGAAACCTTGGCAGTGAATGTGTCCGTCACCCCAATGGCTTGAAACCTTGGTAGTGATTGTGTCCTTCACCCCAATGGCTTGAAACCTTGGCAGTGAATGTGTCTGTCATCCCAACGGCTTGAATCCTTGGCAGTGAATGTGTCCGTCACCCCAACGGCTTGAATCCTTGGCAGTGTATGTGTCCTTCACCCCAACGGCTTAAAACCTTGGCAATGAATGTGTCTGTCACCCCAATGGCTTGAAACCTTGGCAGTGATTGTGTCCGTCACCCCAATGGCTTGAATCCTTGGTAGTAAATGTGTCATTCACCCCAATGGCTTGAAACCTTGGCAGTGAATGTGTCCGTCAAGCGAAACATGCATCCTTTATGTGTGATTTTGCACAAGCTTCCGAGAGTGCTTCTAAATTAGAAGAAGACGTGCAAACTGCTCTGAATGTTTTGAGCCAACACAAGAAGAAGAATGGACAACATAGTGTTGTGGAACGTGCTTTTGAAAGGGCTAAGGCTTCTCTTAATGAATGAATGCACTTTTATTTTGTTATTCATCCGAACATAATGTATTTATGAAATTTTGATCAGTGATAGATATATTTGTTATATGAAATTTCTCAATACAATACATTGATTTGTCTTATTTTAGTCGTTCACAGTTTGTACTCTTGCGGGCCAGGAGTATCCAATGTTTTATCACCTTAGATCTCGGTGAGGTATTTTAGCAGTTTAACCACATACAATACCGTTGGTGGTCTTCGACTTTTGTTTGGCCGTACACAGTTTATACTCTTGCGGGCTAGGAGTATCTAATGTTTTATCACCTTAGATTTCGGTGAGATATTTTAGCAGTTTAACCACATACAATACCGTTGGTGGTCTTTTTTTTTTTTTTTTTTTGCCCTAACTTTTGCCTAGGCCGCCCTTTCGGGTTTTCAACCAGCAGGCTTTCTTAAGGGTAATATCTCTTTAAGAACCTTGCATTGGTTGGGGGAATGATTCTGTCACCATCCATCGTTATCAACAAATAGGCCCCATTAGAATAAACCTTCTCAATCACATAAGGTCCTTCTCATTTGGGCTCAAGCTTTTCTTCGGTTCTTCAAGAGACTACTATGGGTGTTCTAACCATTAGTACCAAGTCTCCCTTTTTAAAGGAACGAAGCCTCACTCTTTTATTGAATGCATTTTCCATCCTTTGTTGGTAGATTTCCAAGTTCTGTTGAGCATACAACCTTCTTTCATCCAGGGTCTCCAGCTCAGCCAACCTCACTCTTGCACTTTCATCTTCTGTTAAGGACTCTTGTATTGCCACTCGTAATGATGATATTTGAACCTCTAGTGGTAACACTGCTTCTCCTCCAAAAACCAACGAATAAGGGGTTGCTTGAGTAGGAGTCCTGTGCGAAGTCCGATAAGCCACAAAGCTTCTTGTAACTTTTCGTGCCAAGCTTTTTTGTTCTTATCCACCATCTTCTTAAGAATTTTGCACAATGTCTTGTTGAAAGCTTCTGCCAAACCATTGGCAGGTGCATGATATCTTGATGAATGGTTGTTCTTGATTTTGTACTTGGCAAATAACTTGTTCAAAGCATCACTCCTAAATGGCTGTCCATTATCCATGATGATACTTTTTGGAATCCCGAACCTGTAAATGATATGGGTTCAGATGAACTCAGAGACAACTGTGCTTTTTATATCCTTTAAAGCCACGGCCTCTGCCCATTTGGAGAAATAGTCAGTTGCAGCTAGGATGTATCGATATCCTGCTGAAGATGGAGGTACAAAAGGACCAATAATGTCCATACCCCATGCTGCAAATGGCCAAGAACAAGTTGTTAAATGTAAAGGATCTGGGGGTTGGTGGAGAAAGTTCCCATGGAATTGGCATCGAGCATAATCTATGCAATCTGCAAACATAGTCGGCCAATAGTATCCCAACCGTTTTAGCTGCATATGTAATTTAGGACCACTTTGGTGTGCCCCACTTACACCTGCATGTATTTCTACCATTACCTCTTGAATACACTTCTTGGCTATATATCGCATGTACATTCCATCCAAAGACCTTTTGTATAACGTTCCATCTTTCCACAAGACGAATTTGGTAGCCCTGTGTCTCACTTCAATTCTTTTTACTTTATCGTCAAGTAGCCTACCATGTTGGAGGTAAGCAATGAATGGTTCCCGCCAATCCTCCTCGTTTTCTCCTTTCGTGGTGACGACCAAGATTGGAACCAAGTCAGAAACTTCTTTTAAAGGTTGTAACACCCTTCTTTCACCTACCGTGATAGTAATTGTTTTGTTATCTGGTAGGGTGAGTGATGCAGCCAAACTTGCAAGTGAATCAGCTCGAGTATTTGTTCTTCTCTTCACGTGGAAAATATGTGTTTTCCTGATTTGCGAAAGCAATTGATCAGCCCTTTCATGATATGGTATGAGACTTGTTTTCTTAACAATGTATTCTCCACGGAGTTACTTTACCACCAGTTCCGAATCTCCATAAATTGAGAGTTCTTCAATAGAAATTTGTAATGCCAATTCTAATCCAGCAATTACAGCTTCATATTCTGCCTCATTATTGGAGCATCCTTCACTTAAGGCGCAAGAATGGGTGATTATAGCATTGTCTGAAGTCACAAACACAATTCCAATTCCAGCTTTATTGTTTTTAGAATTTTCTTGCTTCTTGCCATCTGGACTCCTTGAAGCTCCATCAAAATACATCTCACATCCTTTCTGAATTTCTACTTGCATAATTTCTTCATCTGGTAAATTAGTTACTAGAGGTGAGTCATCAGGTATAGGATGTGCTGCCAAAAAATCTGCTAGAGCCTGCCCCTTTACAGCTCTTTGGGGAACATATTCAATTGCGAATTGTTGGAGAATTACAGCCCACTTTGCAATTTTCCCTGAAAGTATGGGCCGTGAAAGTATATATTTCAAGGGGTCTGCCCTTGATATCAACTTGACGTCATGTTCCAAGACATAGTGCTTTAGTTTTTGCAAGGCGAACACCAAGGCAAGACATGTCTTTCGATAGGAGAGTAATTGACTTCTGCCCCAACCAAAGTACGGCTCAAGTAATACAAGGCATTTTCTTTCCCATGCTCATTGTGTTGTGCCAACAGTGCCCTTAACGAACCATCCAGGGCTGTTATTTACAACAAGAGTGGTTTCCCTTTTATTGGGCTCATGAGTACTGGAGGCTTCAAAAGATACTCCTTAATACTATTAAAAGCATTTTGGCACTGCTGATCCCATTCAAATGGAACATCCTTTTTCATCAATCTTGAGAATGCCAGGCATCGACCAGCCAAGTTCGAAATAAATCTTCTGATATAAGCCAACCTCCCATGTAGCCCCTTCAATTTCCTTAAATTTCGCGGAGGAGGCATTTCAGCAATGGCTTTAATCTTAGTAGGGTCAATTTCAATCCCTTTGTTTCGAACCACAAACCCTAGAAACTTTCCTAAGGAAACTCCAAATGCATATTTTAGTGGGTTCATCTTGAGTTTGTATCTCCTCAAACGTTCGAAGATTCTTCTCAAATCTTCCACATGGTTTTCCTTCTCCTTCGTCTTGACAACAAGATCATCAACATAGCATTCAATTGGTGTCATGGAGCATATCACTGAAAATTACAGTCATCGCCCTTTGATACGTGGCCCCAGCATTTTTCAGGCCAAAAGGCATTAGCTTGTAGCAAAAGACTCCTTTCGGAGTCCTGAATGCAGTCATTTCTTCATCTTCAGGTGCCATTCGGATTTGATTGTATCCTGAGTATCCGTCCATAAAAGACAAGGTTTCATACCCAGTAGTTGCATCTACAAGAAGCTCAATGATGGGCAAGGGAAAGTCATCTTTAGGACAAGCCTCATTGAGATCACGGAAATTAATGCAAACCCTGATTTGATCATTCTTTTTCTTGACTGGCACTATGTTTGCTAGCCAGGTTGGATATTTGACTTCTCTGATGAATCCTGCATTGATAAGCTTGTCGACTTCGGCTTCAATTTAGGCTGTAAGCTCTGGTCAAGTTCGCCTCTGAGGCTGTTTAACTAGCCGTTTCTCAAGGTGAATTGCAAGCTTATGGACTGCAATCTCTGGATTAAGACCAGGCATCTCACTGTAGTTCCATGCAAATATGTCACGATACTCCCTTAAAAAGGAAATATATTGCTGAGCTTCTTCTTCCTTTAAATTTGCACTAATGAAGGTTGGTTTGTTTTCTCCTTCATCACCCAGATTTATTTCACGAAGGTCATCCACGGTGGCTTGGCCTCCTGCTTCAAATTCTGTTGGTGCAGGTTGAGCTTCATCTTGGTCAACATCTTCCAACACATCTTGAGTGATAGTCATGTTTACTGGAAATTTTTTGTCATTCCCCTGATAGCCTAACCCTTCTGTCCTAGTGGTGATAATGCTGCCTTGCTGGATAGCCGGCCTCTATGAAGGTGTTAATGCAAAGTCAAAGGGTGTAATTGTTCCTGGTATTTTTTGAGGATCTAAACCAACTTTTACCAACATCTGTGTGATTTCTGCACTGAAGGTAGGCTTCTCAAAACTCGAGATGTTTTCTTCTGGCACTTGTTCAACTTTCATTTTCTGTTCAACATCTCCAAGTGAGTGGAATATGATGGGTTTCGACCCTTTTCCTTTAGAAGGGACCACAATCTTATTATATTTCTCCACATAGGTGCATTCTGTCCTCCTTAATGGCAACGTGAGCTCACCCTTGAGATCCAAAATTGGATTTATTGGGGCTAGAGCCTTTGCCCCCAGTTTCCTTTCGGACTTTGGCACATATCGAAAAGTTCTTTTTGTTGAAACTGGAGTAGACTCTAGAGCGTCTTTGACATTCGGAGTATCTTCAGACTTCTTCACATCTTTTCCCTTTCTTTGTGAAGTCTTTGTATAGAAGCGAGCATCAGCATAGTAGGCCTCTACTTCTCCAAATGGATCATTGTCAGCCACAATTGTCCCCTCTTTTTTGGGTGAAGGCAACGGGTACTTAATACATTGGTGATAAGTTGATGGCACTGCATGATGATTATGCATCCATGGTCTCCCAAGCAAAGCATTGTAAGAGGTGTCTACATCAATAACCAAGAACTCAGTGCTTTCTTCAATATCCCCAAACTTGGTTTACAATTCAATTTTCCCCATTGGGCGTTGCTCATTCTGATTAAATCCTTGAATGACCAAACGACTTGGGCGAAGTTGTGAAATTCGAACCCCTAATAAATTTAAGGCCCTCCGAGGCAGAAAGTTTACCGCAGATCCTCCATCAACGAGAATTCGAGAAATTTTCACATCATGGATAAGCCCAGTGATAAACAAAGACCGATTATGGTCTGTCATTTCAGCACACATGTCTTTGTCACCAAAGGTTACCATAGCCATGCATGTAGTTGCCTTCTCTTGATTTCTACCCTCAATTTCTTTGTGGAAATCCTCTGGTTTTTACAGGGCATATATTAAAGACTTACGAAGCTCTGGAGACATTTTTAGTGCATCACATATGCTCAACAATGCTGGAATTTTCTTTAGATGAGCTAGTACATCATATTTCACTTTCTCTTCCCCCAGCAAAACTTGTGGAACTTCTGACGTTTGAGGGTCCTGAGGATTTCGTAATTTCCTCCGGTAGGTTAAGTAAGTCTGGCATTCTTCAGCAACCGCCTTTTCGTTGACCTCAACTTCTTTTATTCCCTTACTTATTTGGACCATGTTAACTGGTCCAACTGCAGGGTGATCATCATCATCAGTCACTTCTCCATCTTCCTGGAGCTGCATTCTTCTCCCATTTCTTAGGTACCGAGAGTCACGCCTATAAAAGCATTGAGATTCTTCAAAACCATTCTTCATGGCCTCCCAACTAGGCACCACAACTCCATCGAGGGAGCAATACCAGTCGAAGGCGATCCCCTCTAAGGAAAGGGGGAATTGTTTTAGGCAAAGTGCTTCATTTTGAGCTATTTCCCCACACTGTTTCAAAAAACGCCTAATATGTTTTTGAGGATCTCCATACCCCTCATATAGGACAAAATTTGGAAGTTCGTATCCTTCAGGAAATGGTGTTTGCTCTACCCATAAAGGGAACAAATCCCTTGGGCGATAAGTGCCCATCTCTCGAAGGTCAAGGGTAGTTTCAATCTTCTCCTCAATTGTGCTTTCTATGAAATCATATGTTTGAGAAGATGTACCTTCGTCATCCAAATATTCTGACATCTCAATTTCTATTGGCCATAGTTTATAAAATGTCCTATAGAATCGATCAGCCATGGTGTCCCAATCTAGGATTGAATTAGGTGGCAGGCTGAAGTACCAATCCGCTACCCATCCTTCCAAAGAAAGAACGAACTGCCATAGAAGTAATGCCTGGCTTTTTACTGTATTTCCACATTGTGCAAGGAAACGAACCAAATGGCGCCTTAGACAACCTGTCCCATTATATAAAGGAAAACGAGGTACTGCATATCCTCGTGGGAACTGAACCCATTCGACCCAATTAGGGAAAGGGTGTCCAGAAATTTGATTTCTGTCAATACTCAAATTTTGATGGGCTTCAAAACCCTCATCTTTCAAAGAGACTGTTACTTTTGCCTGATGTTCCGTTTCCCTTCTAGCTTCAATTTTTGCTTTCTCATCATCACCTGGATTGCGAATGATATGTATTTCTCGCTCTTCAAAATTTACGTCCACAGTGATAACATTACAAGAAAAGTCAAAGTGGTCACTTGATACACTTTCTCCATTGTATGTCCTAGCTGGGGATGTGTATGGTGAATCATCAGGGGAAAAGTCAAGTTCCCAATCTTCATTAGGATCCTCAACTTGAGATGACTTTGCTTGTTTACTTGAATGCTTCCATACTTCATCATCTGACTTACACCTGCCATTCACCTCATCATCCTTGAAGTGTAGTCGTTTTTTCACCTTTTTTACAAGCTCAGAGTCGGACCTACACCCAGTGTCTCTTTGTTCTGTTCCCCTTACATATTCTGGAGTGCTTTGATAGTACATTGGTGGTACTGGCGAATACTCTGGAGAAAAGGCTTCTGGTGTATACTCTGGAGAAGTTGGTGTATATTCTGGAGAGGCTGGTGTGTATTCTGGAGAAGTTGGTGTATACTCTGGTGAGTCAGGTATACAGATAGGAGATGTAATGCAATCCCCTTCCCTAACTTTTGAACCAACTTCACCCTCATCTTCCTCGCCATCACTCAAAACAATGATGGTTAGGCAAGGGGCCAAAGAAAACTTTTCCTCCCTTCTTTTATCAAAGTATGTCTGCAACTCCACAGATTGAAATTTTGAAGGTAGAAATTCCTCCAATGTGACTGGGACAAGAGGACCTTGCTCTAACTACTCATCAGGGACCAATTTCTCCTCTTTTTCTTTCTTTTTTCCTTTTCTCTTACTTACTTTGGCTTTTTTCTGTTTCCTAGAAACTTTTGGTTTTTGCTTTTTGGAAACTTTTGGCCCTTGTGTTGTTGAATCAACCACACTTCTAGCTTTCACTGTGGCATTTTGTTTTTTCTTCATGCTTTTTGACTGATAAACAACCCATTCACCTTCATTATCATTGTCGATAGTGATTGGGTTAGCAGATGCTTTCTCTTGAGGAGGGAGTTCGATAATTTGAGTCCAAAAGTTCCTGAATTTTATCTTTCAGAACAAAGCACTCTTTTATCGGATGGCTAATCAAACGATGGTAGGGGCAATACTTTGGATCGTTGGTCTTTCCTATCTCATGTGGTCTTTTCACCTCAGGGAGAGCAATCAACTTTTGCTCCAACAGATCTTCAAATAGGTCTTCGACCAGATCATCCATGAAAGAATACTTCTTCTCCAACCTCTCTTTCATAGTCACTTTTTTAAATTCCTTGGGCTTTTTAGCCCCTACTACAACGGGACCCTTCTTTCTGGTTTCGATTGTAGTTGCAGTCGAGGACTCAACCCTTTCAACGGCCCTAGACCTCCTTCGTTTAGCTAAATGCAGCTCCATATCATGAGCTTTAGTGCATAGATCATTGAATCCTTCAAAAGTTTGAGCCATAAAAGCCGTAGAGAGCTCATGTCGGAAGTTGTTAAGGCACATCTGAATTAACTCTAATTGTGTAAACTTTTGAGGACAAGCAAATGTCAAAGCTCGCCATCTTGCAATGAAATCTGTAACAGACTCATTGTCACGTTGCTTGGTCTCAATCAGTTCTGGTACTCCAACTCGTCTTTGTGTGTTGCAGAACTAATTAAGGAACTCCTTCACCATGGAATCCCAATTTAGGATTGATCCCTCAGGAAGATTAGCATACCAAGTAAATGTAGAACTTTCAAGCGATTGGACAAATAGCTGCAGGCACAGGGCCTCATTCTGGGCTATTGGCCCGCATCTTGAAAGGAAATGAGCCACGTGTTGTCTTGGATCTCCTGTTCCATCAAACATTTTGAAATCTGGTTGGGAAAAACCAGAAGGGAATAGAACAGCATCTACCCATGCTGGGTAAGGTTTTGTAATTATTCGAAAATTCTCATCATCTTTTTCTTTGACTTTCTTTACTTGTCTCCTCACCATATCATCAATCATGGCCATGAGCAATGGATTCATACCACCACT